CTGCGTCTCCTCATTGCACAGTTCTTTTCTTGTGTGACTCATTCACGAGTGCTCCTCAGGAAAGGCTGTTTGTGGGAAGGCTGGAGTTAAGCAGAGGAGATAACATTTTCCTGGTCAGTATATCTTGCACATCTTGGTTGCCCTAGAGCATGGAAGATACCGGCACAGTGATCAGGGGCAGCACATGTGAGCAGTACAAAGAATGCCTTCACCCACCACCACCTCCATTCTCCCCACACCTGTGTTCTGGGAGCAGCAGAGCCCAGTCTGAGTAAACAGCACTGGAGCTCTTAACCAGGTCTGGCAGGAGAATCCATGTTGAGCTTGCATGGAATCATAATTCAAGCCCCATCACTGTGCACTCCCAACTTTGAGATGGTACCGATTGCTCCTGTCTCTGCACCAGTTGCAAGTACTTCAAATATTATCTGGGTCCATCTCTGTTGTTGGGACTGGCAGGTGAGGAGCTAGGCTCTGGCTCCACTGAATATTGAGTTGGTTGCTAGGAAGCCAGACTCTTAAAACCAAATCGTCTAAGTTAGGTTTTCCAGATGACCAGGAGGTAGAGAACTGATCCTCTACACCAAGGCCATTAACAGTCTTCCAAATCTGAGAAAGCCAAATCTGAGGCAGGCTTTTAGCCAGTGGAGGAAGTAAACTTGGGTCCTGGCTGGTGGCATGGAACTCTGAAGTCTGGTCTTTCCACTGAGCACTAGATAGGTTGCGAATTCATTGAAACAGCAGTGGGAGTTGGAAGGTTCTTGCAGGGTAGGGGCTGGTGGGGGGCTTTTGGGAGGAATGGGGGCCACCAGCTGCCTCTGGGGAACATGTGAATGGGCTGCATGCACACAACATTCCAAAGTCCTCTGCTGCCCACAGGCGTATCCACTGGGCCTCCAAAAAAAGTTGACACCCAGAATTCCACTTGCACTAGTCTTCAGTGGTCTGGCATTTATTTCACTAGTCCTTGAGGATTCATTAAGTGATCGGCCAGGAAACCCAATGTCTCAGCATCAGTTTCTGTGCTCTACTTCCTGACTCCCCTTTCCTCGGAGCTGAGGCAGCCTGCTTGGGGCACGAGCACCAGCATGGCTTCAATACTCTTATGACAAAGATGGAGGAAATAAATATCTAGGTAGGTTAGGTAAGGCAGAAGAGAAGGCTGGCACCTCAGGGGCCTGACACTAATGAGCATGAGGATCAGTATAGCCCTGGGAAGGTGAGACGGGGAAGAGCTCGGAGGAGTGTGTGGCTACACACAACGGCCAGCCTGCTCTGGGTGCCAACTGGATCACCATGCTTTAGGTCCAGGGCACCATGACCTGCCTGACGCATGTGAGCAGGTGCAGGGTGACTGAGTTCCAAGTGGAGGGGAAAGGCAGGTTTTCCCAAGCCACCATGCTTTCTCTCACCCGTCCTACCTATGCCAGTGACAGAAAACTAGGGAAGGACACCAGGTGTTTGGCAGAATCAAGTGACAGCGGCAGGAGCCTGGTGGAAGCAAGCATGATGGAAAACCACAAGACTCAAAAATCAAGGAGCAGCCAACTTGACCCGCTTTTCCAGGGAGTCATTCTTCACAGACTGGACCCACCCCAGCAGTTTGGAGGGCTAGATGTAGTGAGAACCCAGGGCACTAGACATTAGGGGAGCATCTGCCTCCCTACTGGATGAGTAGGTCAACAGCAGAGCTGTGATCTTCCAAAGTCATCACCCACAGACCAGAACCCAGAGGTGCAGCCTCTGAGGTGCAGTAGGCATGGGCTTGTACTTATACACCTGATCTCAGGGCCAGGGACCTAACTCATGGGAGCAGAGGGAGATGGGAAGAGCATCCTAGAGGTCCCAAAACTGGCACCCCGACCCTGGGGCAGCTTAGGCCAAAAGCCCATGGAGCACAGAGGTGAAAGGGCACTTGGGGGAATTTGTGCTTAAATTATAGACCATCTTCCCTTGTCTCTGACCTGAACCTAGAAGCATGAGAAGTGCAAGATGTCTGTGAAGCTCTGGAGCAGGGTACAGGAAGGTAAAAGGTCACCACGAAGGCCAGCTTTCGACCCCACCATAGGAATCGCAGCAAATGCCTCACCAGGCCCAGGTGCGCACCGGGGCCTCCAGTCGTCTGCAGAGGTCTGACCCCAGAGGATCCCATTTCCAAACGTGTCTCCCCTGGATTCACTCTGAGTAGCTACCCAGCAGCCTCAGTCTTGGCATAGATCCTCCCCACAGGCAGAACCTGCCTCTGGGAGTGCCGTCTCCCTGCAGACCCACAGCTGGCCCCAGGGCCTCTATGCCAGCATTCCAGTTGCGGAGCTACAAGCTGAGAAGGTCAGATCTTGGGCCGCCAGCCTTTGATGAACTGCATGATCTTCTTGACCTGCAGCTTGGTGAGGTGGAAGTCGTCTGCCAGGATGTCCTCACTGAGCTGCACAAAGATGCTGCCATCGATGCGTTCTCGGGCAAAGAAGCTCACCACGTCCTCTGAGAGCCCGATGAAGCGCAGACTGCGAGAGACCTCCTCCAGGGACAGTGCAGACAGGTCAGCAGGGGGCTGCCAGGAGGAGGCATCCCGGCCTCCCCAGCCTGTGGCCCCATCCCAGGGACTGGCAGGAGGCCCTTCTAGGCGCCCTTGGGTGAGAAGGAGTCGTGCTCCACCTGCCTCAGGCCCCTGCAGGGCCGCTGGTGACAGTGGGGCGGGGACCTGCCGCAGAACCAAACCTTCAGGCTCAAAGGTCTTGGGGGGTCCAAGTGGTGAAAGGCGGGGTCCAGGTCCCCCCACAGCTCTGGGCTCCTGACAACGCAGCAGCTCAGGCTCTGGAGAACCACCCTGCCCTAGCTCAAAGGGGTCAAAGGGCTCTAGGGCTGGTTCCTGCCACTCAGAGGAAGAGGAGGAGGAAGTGGGACAGGAGGAGGTGGGAGCAGCTGAACAGGCCTGGCCTGGCGAGCCTGGGCCTGGAGAATAAGCCGGGCTGGAGGTAGCCAGAGGACCCGAGGTGCTTGTGGACCCAGAAGCACAGGCAGCTGAAGGGCCTGAGGGGTAGGCAGGCCCGGAGAAGGGGTTGAGAGCTCCAAACGGAGCAAAACGTTTCTGGGGGTGAGAGGGCTTGAAAATGGGCGGGCAGCTGTGGTAGGTCTTGACAGGGGTGTCAGCCCCCAAGAGGGAGGCAGCTCGACTGCTCGGGGGCTCTGCAAGGGCCCGAGAGGCCTGGCTGGGCTGTGTGGTTGAGGGCAGGGGTCCTGGGGGTGGGCGGCTGGAGGACTCGCCTACTTTGCAGTCTCCCCAGGTGCATGGGTAGCAATAGAGGGAGTAGGCATCTGGTGATGGGGAGCCACTGCCACTGCGGGAACCCGCCCTGTGGGCAGAGACAGATACATATGGAAGGGTAAGACAGAGCAAGGGGGAAACGCGACAGGGTCACACACACGACACTGCAAACCACTGCTCTGCCAGGTCACAGAAGCTGCCACTCTGATCTTAGCAACACTGGCCCGTACCCCAGTGTCCAAGGCCTGAGGCCCTCTGAGATTGCCCTCTTCTTTCTTCAGGCATCTCCCACCCCAGGAAAAAGTAAACAAAATGGAACTGCATAAAAATTTTAAAACAGCAAGGAACGCTCCATCCCGTGGCAGAGTCTGGAGGGAACCAGAGCAATCCTCCCATCCAGCCCTCAGTGTTTAGGAAAGGAACAAACTGAAGCAGGACAGTGAAGAGCAAGGGACTGGACCCAGGCCCCTGGACCCCATACCCCAAGGCCCTCCCTCTCAGGCCTGCTCAGGAACTTGCACCCCTGGAACCCCCAGCCGAAGTCTTCCGCTTTCTTGGCACTGGCTCCCTCCCTGCCCTCCCCTGCCTCAGTTCACCTTAGGGAGACCCAGAACCAAAAGAAGGAAGGGGCTCACCCATCCTGGAGGCCAGAGGAGTAGTAGGAGAGGCTGGAGCTGGGCGAGTGGACAGGCTGCAGCTTGGGGAAGCGTGGGGGCACCGGGGGGCTGCCCGAGAGCCGGCCACTACCATTGCCACCCCGGGGAGGCACAGGTGGGGCATTAATTTTTTTTCACCTGCAAGCAGAGAGCCACGGCTCCAGCCCCTGTCCCCAGGCAGCTGACACTCCTTATCTTCCCCTTCCTGAGCAAGTGGGCAAGGGGAGTGCCTGGGACTGACACTTTGCCCCACTTTGCCAAGAGGCTGCCTTGCCCTACATTCTACTTCCTCACCCAGCCAGCCAGCCAGCCACCCACCCCTCCCCATCTCTCCAGCCTGTTTCATTTGCCGAGAGCCCACAACACCTGTGGTCTCCTACTGCCCTGGAAATCTATCATGAATGTAAGAAAAAGAATATGGAAGTAGATCAAAAACAATCATAAAAGCAGACATTTTCTCCTAAAGAAAAAGGCATGGGGGTCAGGGGAAGGGAAGGAAAAGTATCTGCCCTCTGGATCCGTTCCTCATGTGTCAAATACTCAAACTGGGCTCCATGGGATGTTAATAGGTGATGTTAATAGGTGTTAATATTCTGTGGAGAGCTGGGAATTTCTACATTGAACAGATAAACAGTTTTCCTTGGTGCAAAACTTCTCGGAGCCTTTTCTATGCCAATGCTCTATAACTCTAAAGCGAGTGGAAGGCTGGAGTCCTACACACACTTTCTAAACGTATTTCACCATGGAAGCTCCTTTTCACTGGACAACTTAAAGGACTTCTGTGAAACGCTCTGGGTAATGCTATTCTAGACCCACCGCAAGTTTTCTGAGGCTAGAGACCTACTAACATCTTTGTCTCACAACTCCCAGTACCACGGTCTCTGGTATACAAATGTTCTTGCGAACCTTTTCCCCTTTTTTTCTCCCATTCCTTCACACCTGGGGCACCCTCTGTCACACACTCCAAGGACTGGAGGCCCAGGAGAACTCGCTGTTCAGGCCCAGACCAGGCCCCCTGGCTGGCTCCTGCCCGGAGGATAGAGCGACAGAGCTCAGCACCCTGCCTACCATCGTTCCCGCCTCCACCGCGTCCACTCACCGCCTCGGATTTCGGGGGGACGGGAGGCGGCGGTGCCTCGGTCTCCAGGCGGGGCGGCCCCACGGCCCCGAAGGAGATGAGGTCGGGCCCCAGGGGCGGTCGGGTCCGGCCCTCAGTGAGGCCCTCGGCCGCCTGGTGTGTCCACAGCTCCTCATAGGGGATCTCGGCGGGCGAGGGGCCGGGATCCGGCGCACCGGCCCAGTCGGGGCTCATGTACTCCTGGTCGCCGTCTCCAGGAGGACCGGGGACACGGGCGGGCCCAGGGACGCGCGGGGGCGCGGTCAGGCAGAGGCGCGCGCGGCGCGGGCTGGCGCACTCGTCGGCCAGCTCCGCCGGCGCCTCGCGCACGGCCGTGGAGTACTCGTCGGGGTCGAAGCGCTCGCGGCAGTAGGAGGCGCTGTCGCGCACAAGGCGCTCGACGCGCGGGTCCCCCGCCAGCAGGCCCTGCGGCAGCGCGAAGCGCGGGGTGTCTGTGAGCAGCAGGAAGTGCAGCGGCGCCGGGCCCTCGCGGCGCAGCGCCAGCCCCAGCACCACCGTCTTGGAGATGATGCTGACCAGCTTGTAGCAGTGGCCCTCCCGCACCGGGTGCAGGTCGTAGGGGTTGCGCGGCGGCCGACTAGGCACCAGCACGTTCACGGGGAGCCTCACGCGTTCAATGATGGCGCGCACCGTGTGCTCGCCCTCCTGCATCTGCAGCTCCAGGGGGCTGCGTGTGCTGAAGCGGCCCTGGCACTGGAAGGGCAGGCTCAGGCTCTCGTTGGTGCGGTGGTTCATGCAGATGAGGCAGGGCATCTTGCCTTTGACGGGCCTGGCGCTGCCGCCTGCGGCCCCGGTGCCCCCTGGGCCACCCACCCCGGCCAACGCCCCTGCCCGGCCCAGCTTGCGCAGCAGGGTGGTGAAGCGCGAGCGCTCCTTGGTGGTCTTGGCACACAGGATCTCCGCCTGGCCCATGAGAGTGAGCTCGTCGCCCGCGTGCAGCGTGAAGTTGTACACCTCGCTGTCCTCGCTGAACTCGCCCGACACCACCTGGGGATCCCAGAAAAGGCAAGACTTTACCCAGGGCCCCAGAATGCTAGCCCTGTGAGGGCCTTCAGGATCCGGGAGGGCAGCCCTCTTCTTGGGGCCTTCCCAGGGCTGAAACCAGATCAAGATCACTGGACTGGGGGGTCAGGGACCCACATTCCATCCTGCAGAGGCCACACGATGGCTGTGCAACCATAAGAGTTACCTCCGTGGGTCTTAGTTTCCTCATGTAATGACTTAATTGGAAGAGCTGCTGTAAGGATTAAATAGACTATATGTCCAGTGATATACATTGAAAATATTCAACAAATGGTAACTTTTATCTTTATAATTTGGGTGATAATGCTCCACCCATTCAAAAAGGCTACTGAGAAATGAACTGATGGATAACAAAAGGACTTGTAAAGAGCTATCTGTACACAAGTTGGGCGCTGTGTATATTGCACTGTGACCCCCACAATCACCACCCCTACTAGTGGATGTTAGGTCAGGCTGCCCTAAAGGTCTCCAACTCAGGGCATGACCTTCCACACACTTCCTCCTGCTTCACCATCTTTTTCAGGAAGTTCTGCGGCCCATTGGGTCTGACATGACCCGATTGTGCCAAAGGCCCTCAAGGGGCTGCCAGAAGGCACACTATGACACCTTCTACCTCCTGGAACCCTAAGAGCAGCCCTCCAACGAGGGTCAGGGTTGCCTCAAACGGAAAGGACAGCATGGGGCACCATGCCTGGTGCAAGGACTGACCTTGACACTGAAGGTTATGGCTTCCATCACAAAGATGCGGTCAGGGAAGACACTAGCCACTTCCTCCACGCTGCTGAAGTACCTCACTGGCTCCCGCACATCCCGGGCCTGCTCCAGGAGCTTGAACTTCCCTGCACAGGAGGGAATATAGGTTTCTAGGGTGGGCTTGCTTGCTGGAAGCATGGCCTGTATCCCAAGAGACCTCATGGCCCCTACTGTTGTTCTCTTCAACTCAGCCGGCCCCTGTGGAACTCAGCTGGGCAGAAGGGCAGGTTTGCACCAGCACAGGGTGGAAGAAGCTGGTCAGCTGTCTCAAGCCTATGAGGCAGTAAGCACAGATCCCTAGCAACTAGATCCCAGACCTCATGCCATGGAGACCTGTGGCTGTGTGATGAGGCTAGCGCCTGCTTGCCCAGAGAACCCGAAGTGCAAACTAGCCCCCAAACACTTGGACACAGAGCTGACCTCTGACCAAGCATCCCTGTGGCGTTGGGCATGCTGGCTCCTAGCTTGGTCCCAGCCCCACTCTGACTTGCTATGACCTTATACAAGTGCCTTCCCCTCTCTGGGCCTCTGGGTCCTCTTCTGAGAAGGTTGGAGAGATTATCTCGGGCTCTACCTGGACCTGCCATCCCGTGCATCTTCCTTGGGTTGATGATCCACACTGATGCATTGGGCAGACCAGGGGCCCAGTCCCAGGCCTTGGAGGCCTGAGAGGAGCCATTCTCACCCCAGCTCTGTTTCAGTTCCTGCCCTGATCCAACATACAGCCCCACTATCCCAGAGACCTCTGATCTGAGCCCAGTAAAACCACCTCCCTCAGATGAGGCCTTCCCAACCTGCAGTCCAGGGCTATATATATTTTGGCTGGCTCATGAGATGCCCCCTGGCAGACGCAAACTTTAAAGAATGATAATCCATAAAGCCTGTTTCTTCCAGGCTTTGTGTAACTGTCTCACCTCTCTGGCCACACACCTTTTATGTGCCGACTACATGAGCACAGGGACAGGCTGTGAACTGCCCTGGGTCTGGAAGGATGGCCTCTTCTCAGACCTCACCCAGAAGGAAGAGAGTCTTGTATTGGCAAGGAGACAACAGGTTAGGAGAAGACAAGATGACTCTTTAGCTTCTGTAGTCTTCCTGCTGGTTTCTTCAGTCATAGTCCATTGATTTATTCATTCCACAAACATTTATGGAGTACCCACTGTATGCCAGACACTGAGCTAGGCCCGACAGCGGGTACAAATCTGGGTCAAATATAGCCTGCCCTCAAGGATTTCCAGATACAGTGGGTGTGACAGTGAGCGCCTGATGATGGCAGGATGTGACAAGTGCTACAACAGACTTGTGACAAAAGAGCTAGAGGATAGTTAAGTTGGGGGAAAGCTGCCTGGCAGTCTGAGGGTATCTTAAGAATGAAAAGAGTCTTATAGAATGGACATTCCACATGGAAGAAAGAGAATGAGCAAAGATGGAGTCACAAAAGCACACTGCTTGCCCAAAATGATGAGTGCCTGGAGTGTAGGACTTGAGAGTGATGACAGGTAAGGTAGACAGAAACTGGATTATAAAAGGCTCTGAATGCCAAGAGGCCCATGGAAGGAGGCTCATCAGACGGGACAACTGATGAGGGCCAGATAGGGAGGAAGGGACTCAGGCCACTGGCCTGGTCAGAAATCAAACCAGCAGAGGCGTTAGGCAAAACTGGAAACCCGGAAGAAACAGGCTTTGGAGCAGGGGCTTGAGAAGCCTGGTCAGAAGTACAGACTGAAGGTCACCAGCCCACAGGAGGCAGCTGCAGGTGCAAGGCAGGTAAGATGGCTCAGAGAAGATGAAGAAAAGGGGGTCTTAACCCTTTGGGGGGACCCTCTTCCCAGAAAAATGCCCAGAATGTACTCCTAGCATGAACATACCATTTTGTATACAGTGCCAGGGGTTCCAGGAGGCCCCAAACCCAGCCAGAAACCCAGATTGAGACACCCCCACCCCATGCACAGTATGAAGAGCAGAGGGTCAAGGGCAGAGTCTGCAGCATCAACATCTAGGAGCAGAAAGACAAATAAGAGCCAAGAAAGAGAAGGGAAAATGCCCAGGAGAAGGCTGGCAGGAGAGTCCCTGGGTGCAGCCCTTCCACTCTGAGACCTTGGTGGGAAGA